AGAGATAAAATTCGTAGTGTTTGTTATACTTACCAGTTTTTGTTAATTATAATTGTTGTAATTGTTATTATGCTAATCACCAATTTTTGGTAACTGTAATTATCCAAATCAGTATGTTACAATTACTCGCTATAATAATCATCTGAAAACCTGTCCTCATCAGGGGCCCTTAGCCGGCAGTTTATTCATAATTTAAAAAAGGTTACAATAACTTTATTGAGTTACGTATGACTTACAAATATACATATATAGAAATATATTTGTACACAATATTACATAACTTAAAATTTAAAATTTTTAAATTATGTAATATTGTGCTTAAGATGGCTAATAATTTTCAAAGGAATAGTAGAGAATGTTTCCCTGATGGCTCAATAAAAGCAGCAAAACACGCCAGCCGTGAACGTATACCCCGCAGACAACCATCTGTAATATTATGAGATGGCGACTGCAACTAAAACAGCACTATTTATAAATATTGCATTATTTAGAATCAGATAATTCTATCAAGAGACACGAGTATTATATTTGCATGCAAATAGCAATGCTAGACATGATTTTGCCGCTCATCTAACATTCAGTGATAAAGCAAAGTTTCATTTTTGTGGAATAGTGAACTGTCATAATGCCTGCATATATGGCATAGAAAATTATTATGCTGTACCTTATTTGTTGTGAGCCATCATATAATTATTACGATTTATTAGTGATTATATTATTTTACTGTGGATAATGAATTTACAATATTTGTATTTCAGAATTAATGTTTAATATTTAGTTTTGTTTAAACTTTTCGTTCGTTTACAGCAAACTCTTTACGTTTAGCTGAATATGTGATACGATAAAAGGGCGCGTTGTATTTGTTTTCACGAGGCGGCTTCTTTGGGGTTAGGGGTTGGATTGCCCATCTGCATTTGTCTTTCTGCGGGTTGAACACATGTTTTGCCGTTCGAGGCGAATGCTAAAGGGCGGCGTTATTTGAAAAACATCTTTCTGGTTTGCGTGGAAAAGGGTTTGTCATTTTGTTAGAGAGTCTGAAATATTTTCGAATTTTCGTCGTTGTTTATCACCTCCGTCCCGCGTTTTCTCCTCCAGCTGTTCCGGCCACGCATGAATGATCAGCCATGCTTAAGTCAAGAGTATCAGAGAGAACTGATAGAATCTGTTGGTGAGAATCGTTGTTCTACTCTTGAAAAAGATGAACTCTTTTTCACTTCTTCGAAAAAGTGATAGCCTGCAGTTGAAATAGTGTAAACTTTCTTCTAAGTTTCTAGCGTTGAAATAGCCAACCATGAGTCTCTCGAACGTTGTCAGACGGTGGTTTTGTCAACTATTACGCATCGATTGAACGGTGTTTTCGACTTCAGAGACTTCATATTTTTTTTTTTTTGACATCGATGAAATAGCTATACGTAACAATGTTTTCCTTCGAGAACTATGTGACGGGTAACTTCACTGGTATAATGAACTATGCAGTGTGAATGGTGAAACTGAATGCTGTTGAATTCATCAACGTTTGAAAGATAACATTTCATTTTCTACTAGGTTTCTTGGCTTTGCCACTACTGATGTTTTTCTTCGGAGATATATTAATGTTTTTGAGCTTCTATTGTCAGAAACGTTTTGAAACCTAATTATTAATTTGCATTTGTGTTACGGAATTTGGGTGAACGCGAAATATTTGTCTTTTAACTTCTATCTTACTGCTTTATTCTGAAATAGAAACTCGTAGGAGAAGTAACCATAGTTTATACATTCATACATTAGATTGATTTTATTTGATTCCCATTGAATATTTTTTGTCAAGAGCTAAATAGAGGTTTTGTCAAGTACTGAGTATTGTAATCAATCTGATAATCGCTTTTTGTCTAAGAAAAAAACATACAAGTTCAGCACATTAAAGTATTACTTTAATTTGGCCCTTTTTTTTAATAAGTTCTAGAAATTAAGACTCTTACTTATTTCTTTAACGTTTCTTTTCTGCATTAAATTATCAAATTTTTACAACTCATGTGTAAATGAACTTTAGTATTTTAACTTAAGTAAACTGGATTTCAGTAATTCATACCTATTTCACATTTCTTTCCTGTAAATGGATGTTTACAGTCGCAAGCAAAATCAAGTTCTTTCACTGTGCACGTACCTTCATTCTGACATGGATTTGAGCTGCAGGGATCTAGAAAAAATAAAAGGAATATAAATTACTATCACTTATACTTTTCCACATTCAGATTTCTGATGCTCACATCACAAATGTGCATTCAGACTCGGAATGTGAAGTGTATTCATATTTAAGTATTTGAGTATGATTATTTTACACCGTTCATCGAAAGTATGTTAAATGAAGTAATTGCAATGAATGTTTTTCAAATTTTAATACAATGCACATTTTATTAGGCGAGAAATATTATTTTATAATTAGTACGGGAATTTTAGACATCTTTCTTTATACTGGAATGTTGTTAGCTATTGGTAATTGGATTTTTTATTATTTATGAATAACTTCGAACACATAAAATGTTTCTTATTTATTTCACGCTTACACAACTTTGTATTTCTCTCTTTGAACAGAAGATTGCTCAACCAAACAGAAAAATCGAAATAATTTAATTTAGAATTATTACATACCTTATAAAAAAATATTCGTATTTGCTGATCAGCCAAAGCTTCCGAAATTGATTTAGATTCTTTATACTACTATAAAACATCGATGAGATATCTGCCCACGCAGAAGAATAATTTCTCGGAGAACATTGTAAAGAAAATTAGTGAAAATTAGTTCACATATACATTACACTTGCGGAAAATCATGAAATTCCTATGCAGCCTGTCCATTCTCAATTTGAATCCGGATCGAACTATCAGTGTTACGTGGCACTAGTGCTCAACCTTTGGCGTTTCTTAAGCCCTCTAAATGATCAAGTGTGTTAGAGCAGAGGATTGTAAAATGCGTTTATATCTTTTTGGTAAATTCTATAAAAGATACGTTTATATTTATAAAGTCTGAATGTTTTATGCATCCACTAAAATGTTCACGTGTTTCTTCTGCAAATTCTTTTATAAAAGAGTATTTCAGTGTTTGATCTTAACATATATAGTGGTATCTAACGTAGCGAACACCCTGCGCAACGAAAGCGTGTAATAGTCTAGAAGTGTACCGTATAACGAATCACACATGAAAAGTTTCGCTTCTTATCACTTCAAACGTAAAACAAAATACATTTTAACTTCTGATTATGAAACTAAATAATAAATTAAAATTACAAAAGGTGAAAGAAGTAATAAAATAAATAATAATAAATGCAAAAAACCAGTCAGTGAAAAATTGCAAAAATTAACACACAAAACAGCAAATAATCACATCTCTTAATATTGCTTTACCAGTAAAGAACTGTAAGTTAACTTTTAGCAGCAGCATAAGGAAGCCCACAAGTAATGTGTTTTCAACAAGAAAAAAAGAACAGGAATGGTTCATTCCTACTGCAATTATCATGGTCCTTCTTAAGAAATTAACAGTTATCCAGACCATAGTCAAGCAAGGTAATCTTAACCAAACCGAAGTAGTAGCAAAGTGTGACAAAATAGCAGACGTATTCAGTAATAATGCTTGCCATACCTTCGTTCAGGGGGCCCACCAGCGTCCGGGCGGTAAAATCGCTGAATACTGGTAGTTCGGTCCGAGGTTCGATTCCTGAGAACGGGCTGGCAGCATGGGCGTTTTCATGGTTTTCCCCATGTGTAACATGCATACGAGCCAGTTTCCCTTAAAACGTTCTCCACAAAGGCATCCTTCCCCTTAGGCAGATAGCCCTATTGTGCTTTACCATAATCACACACGTACATATTATTATATTTATTAAGGACTGTCCTTGATTCATTGTTTACAGCTATATTTCATCTCTTCATTCAAGTAACCAAAGCAGTAAAAGTGAATATTTGAAAGGTAATATGTGGATGAAAGCAAATGGAGAAGATACCGATCAAGACAAATTTTACAAAATCATCTCGATAGATACGGTGAAATTAAGGTACATGTCCTACATACTCTCATTATTTGCATACAACAAAATTCTCAAGCTATTCTTTCACTAAAGCTGCTTTTTGAGGATGACATTATTATTCATCACATGAAAGAGAGGATTCATTACCGTAGCACAGAATTTCACGAAGGGTTCAAGGAGTTTAATCTCAACTGCTTTCAGTTTGACGTACTTTTCTGATACGAGTAGACAGATGCACTAAATCTGACCCATATCATCATACTTTCAAAGAAAAAGGAGTGCTGTTGAAAGATTTTTTCATGCTTATTGCACGTTTCTGATTATCGCGTAATTACTCTCATTCGGATTCTGAAGCAAATCATGGTTCATCTGTAATGACAATTTAAAATTTGTAAAATCGCTTTCTATTCACTCTTGCTCAGTCAATCTATCGAGTGGTCAAGATGGATAAATACTGGCAACTCGATATGGAATAGAATCCAGGTGAATAAGCTGGCTGCATGCACAGTTTTGTCCAATTGAAATTTGAACAATAACGAGTTTTGCTTAGAATGTCATCCACGAAACTATCTCTCGCCTTCGGCAGGTAACTTTCGTATGTCTTTCGACATAACCTAACCTAGCGTAATCTTAATCGTGCTATTTTAGCTTTAATATTTAAAGGAGCAAATTCCCTTTATGAAGGAAGATATAATTCTTTGGTATTTAGTCTTTTCCTCATGCTAACGGCAGGTACAGATGTTCCTACTGCTGTAGTATGTACTTCATAGAGTTATTCGTTGACTGCTTTTAATAAGTGACGGTCAAAGTCTGGAAAAGACTAAAGATGATCAGTAATGAGTCTCAGGTAATTAAACTCCTTGTCTGGAAATATTTCCATAAACGAGGGATGAGCTGCAGAAAAATTAGGCATTTCCTTAGTAAACTGTTTTTCTTCAAATACTTCCCTCTTATTTGGAAAAGAGTCTGCCAACATCAACCAGAAAATGTTTTCGTGCTTTAAAACTTTCAACTCCATATTCTATCCGTAAAAACTAAGAGCAAAGCACAAAATTTATTAAAATCTCATTTGCAGAAAGCCTCATTGGAGTACATATTTCTTTGCTCAAAGAACGTTGTTTTGAATCTCCCTCTGGGCGTATTTCATTCAATCAGAAATAGGTAGCATTTCGAGAAAAATACAAGCAAGTTCTCGATATTCCATTTGAACAACAACGCAGAAGTAAACAGAAGCATTAGAATTATAATTTTAATTAGGTTATACAGGTTACCAGTAGAAATGAATATGGAATAATGTAGAGGGAGTTGCAATTTTATAATTCATTAAAAGTAACGCATAAAAAATATTATAAATACTAATTCCCTACCTTCTGAACACACAAAAAAAGTCAATACTGTGAAACTTTAAGCTATGCTATGCAAAAAACGTAAAAGTTATAATTTTAATTTGTTTTTTTATTATTTTTTAAAAGAAGAAACCTCTCTACCCATTATTTCCTTAGCTGGGGCTTTTATAGGTGCATCTCAATCTATGCTGACAATATTATACCATGAATTTAATTTCTGGATTTTATAATGCAAAGAAAGTTCGGATTTTAGAAAGATATACTAAATCTTTAAAGAATTTAATAAAGTTTATCGTAGTCAAGAAATAACATTTTATACACTTACTTTTATTTACACTAGCAAACGCAATTTCTAGTTTTTAAATAATTTACTACTAAATAGATACCTCTTTCACAAAACTCTCCTGAATATGGTTTCCTGCATTTGCATTCAAGGATTCCATTAACTGTTTCGCATTTTCCACCCTTCTGGCAGGGATTTGGTTCACAGAGATCTGAGATGAAAACCAAAATACATAAAAAAGTCTGTATAAAAACGTGTTTTCTAATGAGAAACAAAAAAGAAGTTTCATTTGAAATAATTACTCTTTTCGCAGCTTTCTCCGGAATATGGAGATTTACAGGAACAGTTATAGCCGGTGGTGGTTAAGTTACATTTCCCATCATTTTTTACATGGATTCGGTACACAGGGATCTGGAAAAGAGGAAAATGGGAATAAATAATTTATTCATACTCCTCCTCTCAAAACGATCTTTATAGTTTAATTTTAGAAAAGTTTCAATATGTGCATGTCTAAAATAATTTCTTGTGAAAATTTAGCTTTAAAGACCCAGTTATCCATTTTTCAATGGAAGTATTTACACATTGTGAAATTTGCAGATTTCTCATCTTTTAAATTTAATCTGTGATTTTATTTCAGCTGCTTATAATACAAGCTGAGGGAAGAACTAATTACTAACATTATAAATAACCACTTCGCTATGGCTAATCTGTTGTTTCCTGGCAGCTAGTTCTGGCTCATACTTCATTTTTCTGAATCGAATGAGGCTCTGACTTCATTTTTCTTTATTTGAAATTGTGATTTATTAATAAATATTCTTTTTTATTCTATTATGATCCTTGCATTTATTGTAGGTCTGTAACATAAATAAGTTCCAAGTCACATGCGTTCTTGAAAACGACTAAGATTTTTTGTTTCTATACTTTTGACTTTTACATTTAGAACTACATAGCTGACGTAACAATTTGAAAACTTATTGGCCGCTATAAAGGGTTATTAAGCAAAATATTTAGTGCATATGAAGGAGATTTGTCAGAAAAATAGTTAGTATTTCATGAACTGGTAATTCTCCGATAGAGTATTAAAAGTAAAAATTTATTATATATTCAGTAAATATAACAGGTGACAGGTGAGAGCGGATTCGGACGCCCGGGGCGGCTTACTAGGACTATTTGGTTATCGTGCGGAATCCGCAACTGTTCGTACAAGGCGATAATTCTTTGGCGTCCCAGAAGCCCGGCGTCAGGAGCTTATTAATAGAAACTAAGTATAAAACAGAATCAGAATAATTTGTTAAAAATTGTATTGATATTAAAACATTCCACATAGCTGCATTCGATAAATTTATTGAAAGTGCTGTGCGCTGATCAAAATATTAATGTGAATCTTCGAGGATTAAGTATTAATCCATTCTCTCGTGTTTTGTCATTTTGAGGGTTAATATACTGTTCTGGATTATTCTAGGCATGTTTAATTTTGGATCTTTCTGGAATAGAGTTTTCCATCTAAAAATACTCTATAAATTGCGGCAAAGTTCCAAAACATATTCTAGTATACTTAAGAAATGAAAATCTGCGAATTAGCGAAATCCAAGCATTTATATTTCCAAGATTTGTTGCACTATGGTAATAATTTACTCACTGAAATAGTTTATGTATATTACCTAACGCTTAAGTTAAAAAAGTAAAATTTCTGAATCAAAAACACATGGGAAATATTAATATTACAACAAAAACCTGTGTTCTTGAAATAATAATAATTAACTTTTAAAGTGATTGATTACGAAGAAACGTGTGTCGTTCATATAATACATTGCGAACCTACTAAATCGAACTTTCTCGTAACTTAATACAACTCACTTACGCTCATAGGTGCATGGAATTAATTTACGAGAATATTTAGCCTTCAATATTCGCTTTCATCGAAATTTGCTGAGTTCTGAACTGAAAGTATTGCTACGAAATGCCCAGCTGTGGTAAGATAGCTTCCGAGCAAAGCCGGTTTAGCGTTGCCAGAAATTGGCAGGGATAGACAGGGTTGCCAAATTTGGTGCGAAATCGCCCATTTTGTGACAAAATTAGCGATATGCTATAGACGGAGCGAGAACATTTTAGAACGCATTCTTAGCCGGTTTCGTCAGGAATGTTCTCGGAGCTACATTAAAGCTATATATATACTGCCTGTAGGCGGAGGAAGAGGTAACATGTTGAGTTCAGTAGTAGTGGTTTCAAATCTGAGATTAGCTTGAAAGCGACTGAAGCGAGTCGGGAGCTATACTTTTGTGCTTTGCCGTGAAGCTCTCTTCACCGTTATAGCCTGAAGACCGTGTTGCTGATTATTTCAGTGTGTTTATCGTAGTTTTTCAACGACTCATAACGCGTGTTTGGAACTCTTTTGCGTAGTTCTGATGAATAATTTGAGTTTTTAATCTTCATCAAGTGTTGTTATCATCACTCCAAATCCACGAACCCGTGGAACGCAAAAGTATTTTTCATTTACCATATAGAATTAAGAAGAGAAATATTTGTAGCATATTAAAATGTAAATATCCTTTTCAGAGGAATTTATCAGATGTTTACTTGTGATAGTTAGATAGTTATGTGATAGTTTCTGTCTGTTTATGTATTCTTAAAATTCATCCACCAAATTAATTGTAAATAATAACCACACATATTTAATAAACTATCATTGTGGAATTTGGGAAGCAAAGGAATGATTATTCAAGTGGGCAGTCTAAAAATTTTTTAACAAGTGATACACAATACAGATATATAATATGCAACGATTCGTTTCTCTGTTAAAATCAGCAATTACATAATAGTTTTTAATTTAAATAAATATGCATGTTAATAATAAAATTAGCTGTGTTTAATTTAGAATTACCATTTTCGCAGTTTTTCCCTGAGTATGGAGGCTTACACGAACAGCTATATCCTATAGGGGTGACGACACATTTTCCATCTTTCATGCAAGGATTCGGCTTGCAGGGATCTGAAACAGAAGTAATAGGAAATAACTTGATCACAAAGTAATATCAATGTGTTCTACTATTCATATTCGCTTTAAGAAATTATGATTAGTTTCCAGTCATTTATTGTTAAATAGATATCATTCTCGCAAAGGCTTCGGAAAAAAAATTTTTTTTTATTTGCCAGTAACAATGCCATTAACTAAATTGCATGTCTTTCACTTTTACGTGGACCTGGTTGGAAGACATTTAAAAGAGAACCATACAAATGAAAAGAAAACTCCATGTATTGGTAATGTGTCTTTAGTTAATCTGCATGCAATAGATGTAGAATTATTAATAAATTAAAAGTCGCGCCAGGCCTGGCGAAGCCGCCATTTGTTTCTATTTGAAATTTATAGTAGAGTAGTGAATTAAGTTAGTTGGCGTACCAATTTAAATGCCTTTTGCACAGTTGGACTGAAAGTGAGGCTTTTGTGAATCTGGCTCCATCAGTTACACAGTCCCACATAACACCAAGAAACACCTGTACGTAAGTCCCCAGATGATAACAATTGGATTGTAGATATTCTCATCAGCAGCTTTGACCTTGTGAGAGACCACTCCCGTGATTTCATTGGTTTTAGCTCGTGCACGTTTAGACAGTTTTTCAAAGTAAAGAGGTTACAACTGCCAAAAACTAGGCCACATCAGCCACATTTGCAGGTCATCCCCTGCGTTCGTTTGCTATCTGTGGTAAAGGACACGCAGTTGGCAAGTGTACTATGACAATCCTCCAACTTTCTGGACTACACGGACAGAATGCTGGCCAGATATTACACTAGCAACTACTCCCATTTACCCAAGAACAAACAATTGAAATGTTTGGAGTGATTGCCCATCATTTTAAGTGACCATCGTTTTATTAGATTCGACACTGGCTTAGAACACCAATACGCAGTTAAAAATAGATGGAAAACAAAATATATAAATTTCCAGAAATTCGGCAGTTCTTTAGCGCCCCATGTTTCTCATTTAGTAGCAGTCTTTGAAAATGCAAGTGATAAAGAAGAGCTCGATACGGCATACAGTATGAGAACAGACACATTGCGGACGGTCTGTGATAAAGTACTGGAACTGCGAAGTCACTGTATTCCAAATAAAACTCCACGGTAGAATTCCATGTTAACTCCGAACGGAGTCGAGTTCGGGCCTTTAGGCGCCGTTTTCAAGGTTGCCGCGATCCAAATGAAAGAGAGGCACTGGGAATGATAATCAGGAAAACCCGCGCAGTCTATAAACGGAAGATTTTAAAGGCTAACTGGAATGTTGGCAGAGAAATATTGTACGAACACAACAGAAAAATTTGGTAGACTAAGTTGCTCATGATAAGGTCTTCAAACCTACCAGTCTAACTACGTCAATCTGTCAGAATGCCTACAGTAGTTCCCAAATAGTGACACATATACTGGAAACGATTTTCCAGATGATGATCCCTATAAAGACTACAGCGCAGAAGGAAGTAAGAACTAGTATTGAACAATATTTATACTTCATCCATTGCTGATTCTGAGCCTCTTCCAACAAGTAAGGAACTGAAGGACGTAATACAGAAGCTCAATCCATGTAAAACTCCAGGTCTGGATGGGATTGATAACGGCATTCTCAGAACTATGCCTAACATGCATCCGGCAATACTTTTCTCCTCTTTATAGGCATGCTGAAGAATTCGACACTTTCCAGAAGGCACAAAAATAGCAGAAGTTGCCCTCTTCCGAAAGGGAAATAAAGATCCAAACGATGCTGCTTCTTATAGGCCCATCTGCCTGCTCCCATCCATGGGAAAAATCCTCGAAAGGATAGTACTTCAAAGACGGAATTTTTACATTCATGCTTATAAACTCACGAATATGGTATCACCTACGGAACACGTTAAAATCACTCAAATCACCTACGGAACACGTTACTTAGAAACAAGCAGAAGAAATTGCATACTGTTTTCATCAGCATAGACATTCAAGATGCCTTCGATTCGTTGTGCTGGCATGATGTATTGAAATATCTCAAAGATATCAATTGTTCCAAAACTTTGTATGATTTGATCTACAGCTACTTTTGTGAAAGACGAATTCAAGCAACAACGGACGGAGGCGTCCACATGCAAAAGGCGACGAAAGGCTGCCCGCAGAGCTCCTTAAGTCCACTTCAGTGGAATCTGGTAGCAGACACCGCGCTTAACCTGTTTGATGATGATGAAACATCAGAAATAATAGCGTATGCTGACGACTTCTTGCTAATTTCAAACGGTCACATCCGTAAAAGTTACGAGGTAGACTCTCAAAAAAGCGTAGACAAAATAGTGCGCTGGGCCAGGAAACATAAGCCCACAATTTCAAGAGCAAAAACAAAAGCAATGCTAATTAGCCCAGGAAAAAGGCATGATCGTACCCCGTGCGTAAACCTTCATGGCAGAAACATACAATTCGTGAGACATTTCCGCTACTTGGATGTGATTATAGACAACAGATTCTCCTGGCTCTCTCACATCAAAGATCTTAAAGAAAGGCTGCATAAATTGTCTAATACAACGCGGAGAACAGCTGCTGCTAGCTGGGGTGTCTCCTCGCAGATGCTCAAAATATGGTATGCCAAAATATGGTATGCCACAGTCCCTGAGCGCATAGCTCTTCATGGCGTTTCCATATGGGGCGCCAATGTGACGATTAACATGCTTTTGCATGTTGAACTCTGCGCAAAGACCATTTCTTCTGGGCATCTGCAGAGGTTTCCGTACCTCTCCTACAACTGCATTAAATGTATTGGCTGGGCTTTCGCCCCTGCTCTTGATAGTACAGAGTGAGAGTGTATTGGTGAGTGTGATCAGACTAAAACAAGACGTTACTATTTGGAATAAGACTTATGTATCTTCGGACTACGAGAATCACATTGCCCACTCTCCTTGCCACCCTGCAGACTTCGATATATAAGCAAACAGTAATCCTCCAAGTGCATTACAAATTTTAGCCGTATATACCGTCTGCATGAGAACACGAATTATTAAGGGACACAGGAAATTCTTCCTCGAAGACATGTCGTCTGGCAGCATTTCGCATAGAAAGAACAATTTTATATCTAAGTTGCTCTGAGCTAATAAGCCAGTTAGAGAAGTCAAAACAAAAAATAACTTAGTTGATGTTTTTGTGGATTTGTTTTCGAAACAAGGAAAAGGCGAAAATTTTTTGCAGATTTTTTTTTCTCCTGGAGAATAGGAACATGTGTGTAACCGAATTCAGAATCAAGAGAGTTATCCAGAATCAACGCCAAATAAGTTTACTTTTATTGCTGAATTTTAAATGGTTGATTAAAATTAAGCTATTTCGGGACTTAATCTCCTACATCGCGGCACTTCTCTATCATTTCAGCTTAAAAAACTATGCTACAATATTTTGAGCATGTTAGCAGAATTGGTTATCACAATAAGGGAAGTATTTTACATGTTTCCGTACACAAACTGGTACAAAACACGCAATAAATATCAATGACTTGAAAATTACGTTAGAAAAATACCCCATTTTATAAATATTAAGATAGACATAATTTCACAGTTTTAATCGCCTAATGAAATCTGAAAATATAAGTAACAGGGCAATTAATAACAAAGTATATCTTGAGTTACATATACGTTCGAATTTTTCAGAGAAATGCTTAATGATAATTTATTAACTGATCAAATTGTTTGATGGGCCACTTACCAATTTCGCACGTTTTTCCAGAGTACCCGGGTTTGCATTTGCATTTGTAGGTTCCATTTTCTACTACGCAACTGCCATTATTCTGACAAGGTTTCGAGCTGCACGGATCTAGCAAGGGAAACATAGATATAATTCACGTTTTGTATATTATCGAAATTTACATGCTTTAAAGGAGAGATGGTCAACAAGGCGATTGCAAAACGTTTTGGTTGATCATAGTCGATATCCTGTCGACTCAAGCAAATTAGTCTTGATTTATAGAAACAAACGGTCTTTGACCTTTTTAGTGTCAACAGCTGACGCTCACAAATTTGAGGCAGCTACTAATAGAATGTATACATAAGCTAGCGTTCCTGTGTTTCGTTTTTGGTATTTAGTGTTCACATAGAGGTATTAGCGTTTCTAGAGAAGCATAAATTTTTTGTTCTTTCTTGTGAAAAAAAGTAAATACTTTTGTGTCCTATTTTAAATTAAAGTTGTTTACCTGTATAGTTTATGGGCAATTTAGTATTCATTAAAGTAAGTAGTAAACAGAAAGCATTGATGACTTACAATTTGCATAAAGAATGAGAACTTGATTAATTTTTTACGATGCAAAAGATAAATATTGTTGTTTGATAATGTAGTGCCTCCGTAGCGTTACTAATAATTTTAGTCTGGAAAGGCGTTCTTTAACTTAATCGCTAACGAATATTAAACAGATTATCTACAAAATAGTGACTTAAAGGGGGAGAACTAGGTATTTTAAGGTTGAAAAGTCAGTGTTGAAATCACTTGGAATGATTACTGCATCATTGAAATTATGCCGTATTCTAATGAGTAAAAAAGTTTTTAGAATTGCAAGTTTTATTTTTTAATGATTTTAACTTCAAATTTGGGACGATTAAGAATGACGTTCCTAAAAGATCTGCAGTGATCTCAAAATACTGCGGTGCGGCGCAAGAATGCATGAGCGGCGGGTGTGAAAATATAAGAAAACAGTTAAATAACGGCTTTTAAGAGATGTTCTGTATTTTCACTTTAATTCTACACGTATAAGTGACATAGCACAACCAACTTATTTTTTGAGTGGTTTTATAATTTATAGATATACAGAATTGCTAGGCATGGTTTCCTTGAAAGAAAGGACCAGAGATGTAAATATATTCAATGCTTTTAGAAAACTTCCATATTATTTCAAACTACCACATTTTAAATTAGTTTCAATAAAATCAGTTGCAGAAGGAGCATTGCTAAACCGCATAAATATATTTATAATTCTATACCAAAAGGCTGATGAATATCACGGAATGAAACATGTAATGATCCTAACCTTCGTAATCCACAGAAGACACAGCTACTATTCCCATCAAAGTTCGTTGCGAGTAAATGATTATGAGGTATGCATTCAAGGTGAGTACACTTTTGGATGCAGATTTCGCTAATCGTTATATTATATTTTGGAAGCAGTCGATTTCGCTTAGATATTAATTTACATCGAAGGAATTTCTAAACCTTAGACAAGTAGGAATGTGTTCTATAAGACCTAATTGTTGTGGTGAGATGTAGTTAAGTAGTCGTCGCAATGCGGAATGAGAGACAGTCGTACTTCTAATTAATACAGCTGGACTTTATTTATACGGTACACATAGAAGGAGGAAATTTTCCTTTCTATACACTTACCATTTTCACAATTTTTTCCAGAATATCCGGTTTTGCATGTGCACTTATAGGTTCCCTGTTCTACTTTACAGGTACCATTGTTCTGACACGGCTTTGAACTGCACAGATCTAGAAAATATATGATACACTATAAAATTTATCCTTTATTAATATTTAGAAGTATATAAAAACTTCAATTTATAGTTGCACATGCATTTCAACATATAACCATGAATTTTGGAGAAAGTAAAATTTCATTTGGCATTTATCCACTGTGATTACCACTGTGATTATCCACTGTGGCATCTTTCTGCAATAAATTTTATTAATATATTAATAATAATTTTTAAAGAACTATTTTATCTTACGTAAATTTAATTTTGATTTAATATTGATGCTGTTCAACCGAGTCTTACCCTTTTAATTTTTGAGCTCTTGTATACATGCAAGGCCCACAGATTTAAGTTTTTGAATCGAAATTTCGTTGCGCAAATTTTCAGAGTAACTTTCATATTTATAATTATACAAATTTGTAAATTACATTTTAGATATTTACTTCTCACTAATACAGAAAATAAAAGTAATTTATTATGTTTTATTTGTTTTCTCATGTGTGGTGCTATTTGAAAGAAGATTTTAAAATCTTTCATTCTCAAAAGCATTAAAATTTCTGTTTTAATATTTTCTTAGAATATTTTTAATTAATTTTAGATATTAACACTATATTATTGTTCTATTTTATTTGTTTGCTTAAATTATTTTTTCTATTCTTTTACTTTTTATTTTTTGCATATTCTCGTATTGGCATTTTTTTCGCAATTGTTTTCTGTTTTTACTTGAAAATATCGGGTTTTAATGAAAGTTTCCAGCCACCACATAAATCGTCTGTGCAAACAATTTGCGTTGGCATGTTTAATCATATTTTGTCAAACGATTTTTATAGTTGAAGAAAGAGACTAGCTTTAGAACACTGTATTCTGAAATTTGTAAATATTATCGTTATCATTAAGCACAAGGTGTCTGAAATGGAACTATCACGCTACCAAATTAGAACAAACATTAGGTATCTTATAACACTGTGAAGGTTTGGAACCGAAAGTTCGAAAACAAGAACTATATTATTTAAGAAGCAGAATGTTCTGGATCGACCTACTAATGTTGATGAGGCCCGCCTACGAGAACTTGTGCAAGGAGATCAGTAAGCAATCACTCGACAGCTTGATAAGTAAGTTAGACGTTAGTGCCATGTCAATTAGTTACCATCTGAAGAAAGGTAAGACCCTGGAAGTAAGGTGTACAGCGAGATGCTAGTCGGTGTTGACGCTGCTGTCAAGAAAAAACGCCAAGGAGTTCCGGCGGGAAAAAATGTTCCATTCAAGATAATGTAAGATTATATGTGCCTGCATTCACCAACTGGACTCCATACGGCCTCGAATGGGATCTTTTGTCACACCCACCATATATCCCCGTGGTCTTTCTTTCGGATTTTTTCAACCTTTTTTTCACACCTGCAGCTACATCTTGCTGGTGCTATCCCCCGTTTTGAAGAGGACGTCCGAAATGAGGTTGGTCTGTTTTTGGACTCCAGGCCGTCAAGTTTCTGGGCCGAAGGTTTTGAGAAACTACAAAACGTTGGCAGGAAATCATACATTTGGGTGGTGTTACTACTCGCACTAAAGGTACTGCTTTCGTGTTTTTTTCGAACTTTATTGAGAACGTTTTTTGACGGAAAACTTTCGTTACAGCCAGATATTTACGCTCGCTCATGCATTAATGTTTTCTGGAGATATATGAGTTTTCTGCAATTGCTGCTGCTTCAATATTCATTTTCAAAGATTTCGAAACCTACCTTTTAAGTAGTAACTCTTAACTGGTTTGATTATTTTCCCGTAAATACGTATTTATATTTTCTAATGTATATACTTAATGGTTTGCTTAAAACTTGTAATATTTTTATTATGATACTTCTGATAATGAATTATTTTCAAGACCAACATTTAGTATAAACGCAGGCATAATAAGTTTGCATATGAATTTTCATTTTAGTTTGCATTCATGGGCTCTTGTGTACTAGGCACAGAATAGAGAAGCCAAAATTTAAAGCCTAACAACAAAACCTTTTGATAGTTTGACATGAAAATTAAGAAATGCAATATATAATATGAAAAATGACAAAAAAGAAGAACATGCAAAATGCTAAGTGTGTTAACACGCTCCTTAAATTTATGTTACTGCTTTATGATGAATTTTAAAATATAAATTACTACCCTTTAAACGTTTGAGCATAGAGCTATTTTTCATTTTAAACCTTAAGTCTGCATCACACGTTGTATTCTAAAAGAAATTTCAACAAAGTTTCCAGGGCAACTTCTTTCCCTTTGTCCTTAATTAATTACTCAGATCTATGAGATATTGGGGATTTACTCTGAGAAAGAGCAGTTTTGAACAGAACAAAATCGGCTTAATATTATTCTTTGAAAATCGTTGCAGTATACAAATGGACTTCCTAGTTTTATTCAACGCCTCCATATGAAGATCACAGTAGTAACTTAAATGAATTACAAATAATTCTAAATAAATTACAAATATCCCGAAATTTTTAGCTGCTGATTTTAAATAACATCTGAAAAGCATTTTCGAAAGAACTCTGCAGGGTGAGAAACTGAAAACATTTTCAATATCATCAATTTGATCACGTTCTATAAAGAAAATTCTTGTCTTACATTTAGTACATACCTACAAAGTGAAAGGCTGAACAAAACACTTTTTAACCCACTCTGAAGGAGTAAATTAACTAATTGGCAAGTACTAAAATAAATATCGATTTTAGATTAGAAAATTAATTCATATAGAAATGAAATCAATGCTGACCCATTTGGAACAAAATATTTCCTGATTAATGAAAAAGATGACCCCCCAATAAAGTTAGTGGATGATTTCTACAAAGAACATACAAAAGAACTCCGATGAATCATTCAAGCTAGGAAAAAAACAATGGAATATCAAAATAATAAAATAATAAAATTGATCTTACTCTACGAGAACATTAAGAAACAATTCAAGAAGTCTTCAAAAAATCACTAAAAAACACGGAAACAGGCGGGAGAGAGAAAGTGCATAGACAATGAATGCTGATAATGAAACACCTTTCCAGAAAGAGTTCTTCGGAGTGGCATATCCCTGATAAAACGAACTCATAAGACAACTAAATAAATCCTTATTAAAACATTTCCTGATTGTTTGAGATAAGGCAGATAATTCTGTTCAGCAAAAAAGATGAAGACCCAGACAACTTAAGATCATATTGCATGTTAAGCCTCCTACCTGCGATGGAGTAAGTAAAATAAGAAAGAGCCTTTGCGGAACGCCTCAGACACTACTTCAAAGAACTTTATATATAATTATATTGAGTTTTACAGAGAGCAAAGAACCATCCACTAAATGCACCTAGTTCTAGGAAACAAACAGTAAACAAAGTTATAAATTTGCACCCAGCCTTGACCTGTGCTAAGAAATATTCGATTTCATATGGTGGTAGATTATGCTACAATTTCTTAAATAACAATTTCCTAAGAATATATATAAATAAAGACATATTTTCGAGCAATACGATTCCGAGTCTTCGTTTTTCTTTCTTTTGGTAAACGTGGTAATTCACAGATTAACCATTTCCGAAAACCATTATTTCTAATTTTTCATACATAAATTTAATACCGTGAGTTTCACCAGGATTTTGAGCTGTAGGGTTAGAATACTGATTTTCGGAAAGTGTAAAATCTTATTCGATGCGCAGCTTGTTTTTATGCGACATTTTAAAAAGAAGAATAAATTTCGAGATATATGTTTTTATTTCTCATCTCAGTTTATAAGCTGGTTTTAGAAAGTTTTATTTTACAATATTTTACATCATTTAAATCCTTCACGAAAATCTTCTGATAGATGTGCTAAACCTTCTTCTATATTACCACATCATTACGGTAGTATATAGGATTCTGTTTATAAGATCTTTTTGTTCCCATTGCATGATTAGTGAATTTTCACTTCTTCCGAGAAAATTCTACAAATCAGCTTTTATAAATAAGACTAATTAATGTTTAGAAACTATATTAGAGGAAGAAAATGCGCAAGCGATTGCACTTTTTGAAATTATGCAAGAAATACCTAAATGTGTAAAGACTAAAACAGATAGTATTTTTCAGGTTCTATATACTGATTTATATAACAATATTTTTAAACTCTTGGGCTTGGCTATGGAATGTAAGTCAGGGAGAAAAACTTTCCTTTTCTTTTGTATTTCCTAAAACATCATTCTGACAAGATTTAGTGCTTAATGGGTCTAAGAATGTATAAATAAATATTACTATTATTTTACATTTCAGTAAAATTTACATGCATAAAAGTAATCAAACTAAAATTTCACTCGAGAGTGAGTTCATAAATGGTCATATTCCAATAAAAGTAAGATATCATTTATCTTTTACTGCCTTTCTGTCTCTGATATACGTGAATACAAGGGTTAAGGAAGCTACTATGTCGTTGGTTATGTAATCTTCCAGCACAGTTGGAAAGAATCACAAGTTAAAATGCACACGAATCGTTTCTTGAAGAAGAAACAAACGTGCTCAGCTTATGTAGAGAAAATAATTTGACAAATTTCAGAAACATTTAAAAGGAATTTATAAGCTAAGTGTTCAAAATTTGCTTACATAAATTTTGTAATTCAATCTTTTCGAACATACTGTTTTTATATTTTAGACCCCATACTTAGTGTATGAATATTTCGGAGAAGAAAGGATGGTAGAATGGCAGAAGGGCTGAACGGCTCGTAGTTAAACTTCTTTTGCGAATTTTATATCTCTTGGAAGACTTGTTCCGAGTTTCTTTATGCAAAAATAATAAATTGTTCAGACACGTATAAGATTAGTCATAAATATTAGATTGTTCATTTTCTACGTTATGTTTATATACATATACACAACAGTGGGCAAAACTTTAAATAAGCAACTTTTCAGATTTTGACCATAATTCTGCAAAATATCAGCTGGAAGACGTAGCATTCATGCTGCAAAGGTACAATGTAGCAATTAAAGGATGAGAAAAGTATAATAATAAGAAAATGAACAAGATGCATGTAGTTCGGAACAAACAGAAAAAGGCTTTATTAACAGAATGCCGTTGGTACAAAAAACTCTCAGGCCAAGGGGAAGAACAATAAACAGAACAGCCTTTGTAAGGGATATGATCTCTAACTGCAACTGCATTGCACCGTCTGTCGACGCTCTACACCAAATTATCTAACAGTTCTTGGGGTAAGAGTTCTCATTCTGTAAGGAACATCTGCTTCCCCACAGAGTAAACTCCTGACAACAGGCATCACTCGACACATGTAAAATGGAATCTAAATCAAGGGACCATGATGGCCAATCCATTCTGTGGATATCTTCCCTTCCCAATAGCTCCTCAACATAAGTCCTTGGGGACATGTGTGTCCTACATATCCAAACACTTCAAGCTATATATCCAGCACATGACCGATTTACATTATTACCAATTTCGCAGTTTTTTACAGAATACCCGGATTTGCATTCACATTTGTAGGTTCCCTTTTCTACTTTACAAATACCATTATTTTGACAAGCCTTTGAGCTGCACGGATCTAGAAAAAAAGCTATTCTAACAAAATTTAATATGTATAAATGTTAGTACATGTCCAAAAACTTCAAGCTTTATATATCCAGTACATGAACGATTTATATTATTACAATTATTATTACGTTGTTATTCATAAAAAAGTCAGGACCAATGGTGTCCCGGAAAAGACGCACGTGGGAAAAGATGTAACGATCACCAAAATAAGTGAACCTTTGTCTGAAATGTGGAGATTCATCGGTCCATTCATCATCATGCCTCCCCTGCAAGCACCCCAAGACTAACTCAGGGATATTTTCCTCTGATATTAGTAGGATGAAAGCGTGTCCCTACCATTCTACACATCAGTTGTCGCCAAGAATCGTTTGCCAGACAGAAACGACTGTCAACTTTAAAGAGCACATGATCCTATTGATGAGATGTTCAGACTTTGTGTTCTCTATACCACTTTAAACTACTGTGCCGCCGATGGGCCGAGGCCACGTTCACGACGACGAGCGAATAGGCCACATTTATGACGTCGTCTTGCCACAATAATCCGGGACACGCATATCCTGTTGCCATGCGCAACTATTCAGCAAAATTGTCCGCTGTTTGTTGTTACCCTCTGTCCATCTCTTCTCGCCTGCAGGGAGAAATATCTGTCATCAGGCAGCATTCGTTTCATTGGCCAACCACCACCGAACTTTTTTACAGCTGTATCTGTTGTTCGGAAGACTTTCCATGCTGGTGAAACAAGAATTTCATCGGTTCCAATCTCTTGGACAAAAGACGCCAAATTACGCATCTCCTCAAGCTCGTCATTCATTCTACCACCGGTAAAAGCGCTGTTGTTTCCTTGTAGCCCTACTATACGTACAATTTCATTTGCAAAAGAATGTCTAGAAATGCGGCTTCTTTATTGCGAAGTTGCCTTTGATTGCGCGCACTCCGTATACACGTAATTTAAACAGTATTGGACACTTGGCCATAACTCATTTTAATTACCGATAGTTTTACTGTCGTTTTAATGAACGGTACCTGCACACTATTATCATACACTAAGCTATAGCCATACGTAATTTCATTTATTTCTTTAGAAAGTCCCCAACGAAGGCATCCCTCCCTTAAGACAGATAGCACTTGTGGGCTTTGCCACAATTAAATAAACCAAATCAAACCATTTATTTCTATCCAGTATTTCTCGAGATATTTGGAAAAGTGTTCCATCTCTTAATTTTATCCACGAGTGTATTTTGCGAAGCGGGATTAACTTCAGTGCCACAAACAAGTAATTCCTGAGCCTAATAATAATCGGTCATTGGGCAAACTTCATAATTAATATAACGTGGTCCTGCCTTCACTTTAAGAAAACAAACTGTGCAATTATTTCCTCTCAAATACTGCGACGCTCGGAGCATGAAATTGAATTAATCGGGAAAAAGAAACACAGGAATTTAAACCCAAGTATAAGATAAAGCAACCGGTCCGAGGATTAACACGAAACATCTAAATGTACAAATTAAATAACTAAGGCTGCACAGGAGGAGTAAGAGTTAAAAGAAACTAAGTTGTTCATCATGACGTTTTCGTATATCCAGGTAATTATTAAACGCTAATATTTATAAATGGCAGGCTAATGATGCTGTAATAACGTTTTTAGGAATACATGCTGTTATCATTGAAATACTTACCACTTTCGCAGTGTTTTCCAGAATATCCGGCTTTGCATTCACATTTGTAGGTTCCCTTTTCTACTTTGCAAATACCTTTGTTTTGACAAGGCTTTGAGCTGCACGGATCTAGGGGTAAAAAAACAAGCTGTTCTAACAAAATGTAATATGTATAAATGATTAGTACATGTCCGAAAAGTCAACCTTATATATACAGTACATATCCGATTTACGTTACTACAATTATTATTACCACTTTCGCAGTTTTTTCCAGAATATCCAGATTTGCATTCACATTTGTAGGTTCCCTTTTCTACTTTACAAGTACCATTGTTTTGACAAGGCTTTGAGCTGCACGGATCTAGGGGAAAAAAGAAAAGCTGTTCTAACAAAATGTAATATGTATAAGTGTTAGTACATGTCCGAAAACTTCAACCTTATATACCCAGTACGTATCCGATTTGTTATTACAATTATTATTACCATTTCGCAGTGTTTCCCAGAATATCCAGATTTGCATTCACATTTGTAGGTTTCCCTTTTCTACTTTACAAGTACCATTGTTTTGACAAGGCTTTGAGCTGCACGGATCTAGGGGAAAAAAAAGCTGTTCTAACAAAATGTAATATGTATAAATGTTCTAACAATATGTACTGGATATATAAGGTTGAAGTTTTCGAACAAGTACATGTCCAAAAACTTCAACCTTATATATCCAGTACATATCCGATTTACGTTATTACAATTATTATTACCACTTTCGCAGTTTTTTCCAGAATATCCAGATTTGCATTCACATTTGTAGGTTCCCTTTTCTACTTTACAAGTACCATTGTTTTGACAAGGCTTTGAGCTGCACGGATCTAGAAAAAAAAAAAAAAAAACTGTTCTAACAAATTTAATATGTATTAATGTTCATGTTCGAAAACATCAATCTCAAATATCCAATACATATCCGATTAACATTATTACAAGAATTTTTACATATCCAGTTTAACGCATAATTATAAAGTTCCCAGAAAAATTAATTTTGCAGTGTAATCATCCTTTCTTCTTTTCATTTTTTATTTTATTTTATTTTATTTTAACAATGTTCAAGAAAATTTTACGTTATTTTTATTAATAATAATATATTATACTTCTTACTCTAATTTAATATTTTCGTTTATTCATATTATCTCTGTTTAATAATAGTGTTTTACACTTTTTTCTCTAATTAAATTTTAGTTTTTATTGTTATTTTTTAACTGTTACGCATTAAAGCCGACAGATTTGGAGTTAAGAGACGCAATTTCGTTTTCAAAGTGATTTTAATATTTAAGTATACAATTAATTTTTCAGAAAAATTTTTGATATTTACTTCTCAAACAAATAGTAAAAACAGACATTAATGTAAGTATTCATTGCTTTTCCTCTTGGTAGATCCGTTACGAGGATTGTATTTATATGTTATTTTCCAAATATTCAGTTTTTCTCTATTTCCACTTTTTGGTGGTTCTTTCCCAAGTAGCACAGCAAAATGCTCACGACATTGCAAACTGGTCGCCAGTCGTGCTGCAAAATCGTTGCAACATGTCGTCTTTAAGACGTCCAGATGTCTGCAAAACTCCACTGTTTTGCAACCGTTGCAAAGACGTCTTTATTACGTTTTTGCAGATGAGGTTTTTGTCGCATAGACTTCGTTATTGCGTCTTTCGCAGGTGATATTTTGGTTGTGAAAGCATCGTATCACGACGTCTTAACGACGCCTAAATGTTCGCAAAATTCCACCTTTTTGCAACAGTTGTGAAAATGTCGTTATTATGTCACGTATTGCTTTATGCAGAAAAATGAGCTTAATATTTAATATATTTTTCTTCTTTTTTAAATTTTACATTCCTTGTATTTTTCTAAAGTTGAAATATTTTATCATTTCCTGAAAACCAGAAGATAAAACAGTTTTTCTCTTTAGACTAAATATGCTTAATTAATAATAGCCTTATTATTTCAGTACTTTAAACTATAGTTTTTAAATTCTCTTTAGACAAAATATGCATAATTAATAATAGCTTAATTATTTTCAGTACTTTCAACTATTTTTTAAAACTTAAATTCTAAGTTACGATTAATTAATAATAGCTTAATTATTTTCAGTACTTTCAACTATATTTTTGAAACAACTTAAATTCTAAGTTACGATTATTTAAAATTTCATCATTTTCCCCTTTAAGTGAGAGTAATTATGAAGGTGGTTATTATAAATATATAACATTAATAGTAGGTTTTAAGTAAATAAAACTCAATTAGACATAAATAAAAGTAAAGATATATATGTGAGTAAAAAAGAGCGTTTTTTATAACAGCATTGTCACACTTATTTCTGTTAAATCTCAGAGACATTGAAAATTGCCCCTGTCATGATAAATAAGGAAGCTGTTCTTAAGGAAACATAAGCGTATTTACCTGAAATGAAGTATAAATTTATTCGCGTTTCACAGTAAAAAATATAACCATTAACTTCTCTCCAAGATATTAATAAATGTGATAAAAATATACCTAAATCTAATAACTTCCCATATTCATATCTAAAATGAAATAATAACCTAAAAAACAACTATTTAGAAAAACATGACTAGTAGTGTTTGAAAGTAAAATAGCGAAGGAAGGTAACAGAACTAAAATTTCCAATTAATAAAAATTATTGTGTTTTTTAATAGTAAGGAATTAAAAGTGCAATAATTATGGATTCCAGTATTTACTAGTAATACTGATGTTTCTTAACACCATTTCTTTCGATCATATGTTAATGTAATAACTTATTTTTAGTTTCTACATTTTAGAATAGTGGTAGATTACATGATTATTTCATGCTCATTTTAAAATCAATAACTTTCCTTTTGTTACTGTGCAGAAGTAATTTAAATAATATAGTATACGATAGTAAGCTAAGTACGTTAAATAGCACACGATGAAATTTTTTGTGTCTATTTATTATGAATTTCTTTGTTATCTCAAGCACATAAAAAGTAAGCGGAGAAATGGAATATACTTAAATTTAATAAAAAAACAAAACCAATTTCCAACATTCCTTATTGAGATAATCTAATAAACATACATAACGGCAATATTTTAAAAGCGAATTAACAGTGTTGAAAGAATAGATACCAACGAAAAGTAATAAAACTGCAATTTGCAATCAGTTAAAAAATTAGTGTTTCTTAATATTTCATAGATAAGTACCACATAGTTATGAATTACAATACAGTCAAAAGTCGTTAATCCGGACTCGTCGGTACTTCGGCGATTCCGGATTATCGATTTTTCCGGATTATAGATCATCAGTTTAAATCTGGTAAGATGGCATGCAGAAATTATAAAATTAAAAATATGAAACCGTAATTTATGAAATAAAGAACAATTATGATCTAAAGGGTATCAAAATTTACAAAAAAAAGCTTAATATTTATTTGTTTACTTTATTAAACATTTCTTTCAATGTAAGTTGTTTAAGTTGCTTCGTTTTTTATGTGCTAATACATTCTCTTTAATTCTATAAACAGACATAATTTCTTGTTCAGTTACAAAGTTCCGCTGTTCATGTCCTATAATTGCTGCGTCTACCGACTAATTTGTCAATCGATATTTTTTCGTTTTCAATAACCTCTGTCACTTTCTTCGTTATCGGAAGCGAATTATAATGACGAGGAATTTGATTTAAATCATATCAAAGACGGAGTACATCGAGAGGAAATACTACATTTAGTAAGGAATTATAAGCCAAATAAAATAAAAAAAATCTGCCCTGAAGATAAGGATAGTGCTGACAGATCAACTTCCAATTCATTGCGCGCCGCGGCGTTAAAGATAAACAAACGTTAAAGTTTAGATAAACAAAGGATATGCCTTTATCCATTTTTCTGCAGAAATTGCTTTTTTGCTTAATGAACTTGGAAACATACTTTCGCTTTGTAGATCCTTTACATATTAATAAATATATATCAGAAATTCTATTTGACATAATCGAAAGTTCAAGCTTACTTTTATAAAATTGCTCTAACAATCTGCAAAAAATAATAAGCCGGATCCAATTCGAAGATTAAGGAACAACACAATCTGCAACATTGACTGAAATAGATAATTAGATAATTTCAGCTTAGCTTATACCGTCCGTTATACATTAAACGCGCACTCGTAAACGTATTTTTTGCAGGCGCACAAGCATGTTCGCAGCCGTAAAGGTCTTACGCGCATGCGTCAACGCGACGCATGCGCAGAAAGTTTGTAGCTTTGAGGTCCGGATTATAGATCATTCCGGATTATGGGTGTCCGAATTAACGACTTTTGACTGTATTTCATAGAAATGCTAATGTTTCCTTAACACTAGTTTTCCGGTCATACATTTCATACACTGTTTAAGTCCCAAGTATTTTCATATGTGTCTAGAAATCTTTCTGTTCCGTTATCATAAAGGAAATGAAATTTCTGTCCAGTTTGATAAAGCAAAAACCTCCATGTCGGAACCACAGCTTCAGAAACCCATTTAATAAAGCTTTACATACCCCTAATTTTTTCCTTTGCTCGTAAAACCTCCAAAATCTAATACACGGCAGGCCTCAGTCCCCCAATTCAATAGTATTTACCTTCCAACCAATACCCTTAATTGTCTTCGAGTAAGGACTCATAGTACAGGCTTGAAAACAAATATTTCTTACTCATGTAATAACCATTCAGTAACTTATTTGTTTCCTAGATATTGACCCCTTCCTTTTTTATTTTCTGCTATATCTCTAGTTTTATTCACTCTATGGCTTTAATTCTTCTCGTTTAATTACCACTCTACATTCCGTTTTTTCTAACGCTTTTATCTTGTCCTTACCACCCACCGTTAATTTCTTCCTCTTCTAATCGACTTTAATTCGATTTTTATTTCTCTTATAGCTGCCTTTCAAATTGGATCAACATCCTAATTTAAATATAGCCTTAGTTCTCTCACATCCCTCTTCTCTTTGACATACTCCCTAAAATTCCACCTCAACTAATTAAAACGCTAATTAATTGTTATTTCTTCTATAACTGCGCCCCTTTTTACAGCAAGTTCCTGAAACCAACGTAGATTTAATCTTAATCCTTTTCTCTTCTCAATAACGATTTTCTCAACCCTCACCCAATTATTAGCATAGCTAATTAAACCAATCAATATTATTCTCTCCCTTTCTCCCCAACCAATAAGCCTAAATGCCTCAAACAATTTCTACTCCATCCCTCTGTGAAAAATCTTGGTACTCTATTACTAACTTCTAATAAAACAAAGGAAATTAATTAACTAACTTATTTCCAACTAATGTTCTCCTTTCTTCCTCTGAGCTTTGATTAATGACCAAGTCATGTCATGCTTTAAGTACCTCTAGAAGGTTACTATTCAGCACAGTTTTAGTGTTCCATAGGCTTGATGTGTATTTTTTCATCTATTTTTATATCTTAAGATTTTGATTTATTGAATTATTTAAATAACCGTCGCTACGGGTTCAGTTATTCTATTGAATTTTTCTCATATCCCTTCTAATAACTTTCATACACCGTAATTTTTAATACCTTGGTATATTTGAATTAACTTTATTGCTTTTTCAGGCGATCCCGTTCTCTACGTAAGTTACTGTTTCTTTCATCATACACAAATTATAATCACAAGTCTTTCTCGGTAAACCTACAAATGAACATCCCATAACAACCTTCTAGACCTAGATGTAATCTCATTACTCTGCTCTAGCAACAACTAAGCTACATAATGTTACTACCAAACACTAACAATTAGAGTTAAAGAAACCCAGCAAGCACATAATAAAATCACAATGACTTTGGAAAATATATAAAACGATGCCAGCTC